ATAAAATGTAAATTATACATTGTCTCATATTAGGCCTAGTTGAAAATTTTCAGTTAGCAACTTAATCAAGACGTTTTCTCCATTTTGTTTATTTATATAATTTTGAAAGAGGAATGGCTGATGCCGTAAAGTTTCAAAGAGGAGTCCAGTCTCTTACAGCTTATGAAAATGAAGAATAAGAGCCAGGCTGTCGCAGAAGAATACATGTCCTCCATTTTGAGTCATTGGACGATGCAAATGTTTCTTAAGTATCTTAAGTATCGTTCCCGCAAGTCCCATAAAAAAAGAAGTCAGTGGCAGTGGCAAGTCAGTCAAAACAGTATCCTAAGCCTACTGCCCAATGAATGTTAGTGGAGGAAGTTAATAGGCCTATCTACAGCCCAAATCAAAGTTTGTTGTCTAAATAACATCAGGAGAAGTGTTCAGTCTCCAAGAACATCCACAAATGTTTTTTGCTTTATAATAGGAGGTCAGTCTTTATAAATATGTATACAAATAGCCAAATATGTACGATTACTTAGCATAAATTAATCTACAAATTACTAATACCCCGTCGTAACTAACATGCAGACTTAAAGAATTTTCATTTGCCTAATCTTTACAATAAAATTAAACTAATAATGGCGAATTCATTTTTATCTTAAATAACATTAGTTTCTATGAGTTACTTACGTTTTCTACAACAAGAAAGGTGAAAGAGTGTGTTTTTGTAACGTCAATCGCTTACCATGAAATAAATAGATTTGCGTAATTGCAAAATATATCCAGAAACAAGCAAACTATAGCAATTTTCCCCTACTCCAATATCTCAGTAACCAATTATTACCGTATAAAAATACTAATGTATGTATAATAAATTGTTTTTTTTTTAAGTTCGACTAGATCAAAACAATAAAAGATGGGGTATTATTTCGTCGGGGAATGAAATGAAATGAAATGAAATGAAATGAAATGAAATGAAATGAAATGAAATGAAATGAAAATCCTTCTTTATTGAGGCGAACTTAGGACCTCATGGTCCTTTCTTACAGTTAACCTCTAAATAATAATAGTAATAACAATAATACATGATATGAACAAAAGTAAAATACACATTTCGTAACATAATTAATAATAAACAACATAACATACATTTATTTTCCTAGCATACAGTCACACACACATACACTCTTTGCAGCAGCTAAGCCTAACGCACGCCATCCCGCCACGCCACTACCATCCGGTTGAGATAATATTCTTTCAGTGTCGCCTTCAGTCGGGATCGGTTTTCTATGGATTTAATGGCATCGGGTATAGAGTTCCATAGGCGGCATGCTGTGACTACAAATGATTTATTATAAATAGTTGTTCTGTGTGTGGGAATCAACAATTTTAAAAACCCAATTTTTTGAAATTCACATACGGTAGCCTGATCATGCTGGTTTGCGAACATCTTAGCAATAGCTTATCGATAGTATCAACGATATACTCGATACTTCCTGGTTTCAGTCATGACGCCACTAAGCATCAAGCTACTAACAAAAATTCACAAATTTGTCGTTGGGTGGTCAACAATTTGAAAAACCCAATTGAAAGCAGCGTTCTCACAACACCTAGACACACCAAGTGCATGCAATCTAGAATGACAGATTTTACAAATTTTAGACCAGGAACTAAAGGTGTGGGACGATCAGCAGGCTGATAATGTAAGTCTCTTCTTTTACGAAAAATCACAATCTGATCTAGGTGGGCAATATGTTGCAGTAAAGATCCTCCTTCTATCATACGTCACACCCTTAACTTTGCATCTTGTGCAACTGAAGAAACCAAATTGTAAATAGCATTGCCGTGGAAAATAAAAATGAAAAATGAAATGAAAAATGAAACCAGTGTGGGTTATGGTGCCTAGAAGATAAGCTTTTGCTGGAGCGTCACAACAAAACCACAAAAGTTAAATTCTCTCAGAAACATTATTGAAAAATTCCATTTTCCAAAACATCTATTAATTCTTCTAAGAAAAGTTCAAGAAACGCTTCTTACCTTTCAGGTTTGCCTTGACCATAGTAAACGCCAATGGGAAAACATTATTCCGCAATGAAGTTGTGGGCATTTGCACAAGTACTACTACACTATTTACTACTCTTAAATAAAGGCAGCAGGCAGCCTGTCAACGCTAAACAATACATGTACAAATTCTAGAACTTCTGACTTTTATGATAACAATTTATCAAGCTACTTTTTAAGCCAATGTGGAAATATTCACCAGGGGGTAAAGACCTAAAATTTAAGTTCCGGGGAGTTCCGAATATGGTTCTTGCATCAACTGGTAATTTGGAAAAACACTCAGGGTAACAAGATACTATTGTATTTTGATTCTGAAAAAAGTTCTTCGTTTTCTCTGGACGATAAATTAAATCTCGCTCCAGTATCATCACTCTCACTACTGGACAAACAGTATGGTGTCTCGTTTGAATTTGCGCCACTTAACTCACTGTTATTGGCTACTTCACTAACTTCAAAGGATAAACTAGACGATGTTGACGGGTTAGCCCTATGGTATGTTTCTCGAGCTTCTTCAATCAATGGACGTTCTCTTCCCTTTCTTCTTCTCTTTATCCTTTCCATTCGTGTTGATTGGGAATGGCCGAACGGATTGAACGGTTTTTCGTTTGACACCTTTTTCGTTTGACCCACATGTAGCTGTCGAACATGTATACTTCCTCTTAACTATATGCGTTTTTTTACGTTCATGATAGAGTGAAAACATACAGAGTATGTATTATCATTTACTTAATTTTAACGCTTCCACAATCGGAATATTCATACAAAAAATGAATGTATACATTGATAGACACTATAAAAAAGATGCTATTAACTTATTTGCCAAATAATAATAGATAGAAGACGCTTGAGAGAGTTTTGTAGAAAATTTAATTCCTGACCATGACAATTCTTTCAAATCTTGGCTAGCTCTTACCGTTTTTTGAGTTATAGCCGTAAAAAAAGTATTGTCCTTTTTAGATGTCCGAAATTTTGGATTTTTGGGGGAGCTCAAATTTGAAAATGTGACTCTTGCAAATTCCACCATTAATTTAGGGTCCCATACTACAATACTACCAAATTTCAAGTTCTAGCACGTTTCTAACCGATTCACATGATTATACCAAAGTTATTAAATTTAAATGTTATTCCCCATAAAAATAACATGAGGCTCAAAAAGAGTGGCAATACCTTTCAAATTTTGACAGTAAACCCAAGTTTTGGGGGTCAAAGAGTAAAGTTACGAAAAACATGTAACGGGTTAAATTTAAAGCCAACTTATTTAAACACAAAGCATTTATAATATTTGCAAAAAAATTACTTAGGTAGGAAAAAATAACGAAATCATAACAAATTTGAAAGAAATTTACTAAATATATGAACTTGACCGGATAGTGTTTTTGGCCTCTTAGGGACCTCAAAACGAAAAAGTAAATCGGTCCCGGACTCAGGTCTTACCATGAGTACTACACTAATAGCTAATTGAGTGAGAATAAATCAAATGCAATGAATGCATTCTATGTGTGTTGCCATTGAAATGAATAAATATGTATCGCTCATTTTCCTGATGCAAAAGACTAAGTAAAAAATAAAGTAAATAAAACAGTAATACTGTACAATAAACCTGGTACACACTTAAATGCATAGGCTATATTTTAAATTTTCAGCTAATTTGGTTCATGAGTGTTTGTGTGATGGAATGACAAACTGATAATTTGCACAATGTTGTCTATAAATGTTCTTACAAGGAGCAATGCCTACCACAATAGTTTTGGTATAAATGCTGCAAATTTCTGAGTGTAGAGTATAATAATCAACTATATAAACTTAACGTTTCGTGCATGAAGAGTCGAGTAGTTAGAATATTGGTATTAGTAGCTTTTGCCAAAAGAGTCTTCAGTCACAAATCTCTCGAATGAAACTTTTCAACTTTGGCTGGAAATGTTTGCTTTTCTCTTGACCAAAAATATCTTTCAGGGAAATTACTCTTTTCAATTGATTTTTACACTTTACTCGCCTTTTAGTCAATCTTCATGACATTAGTTTTAGTTTAATTCACAAAATCTATCGTCTAGTAGTAACGATGAAACATAAAGTAAATAACTAAGTTATGGTTATGAGAGAAATATCGTAATTTGTCTTATCTAAGTAAAGATAAACGATTAAATAAATATACTAAAAGATACTAACTGATAAATACACTATAATAGAGTAAAGGATGCTTCCTAATAATACATATTACTTTCAAACGCTTTTGAGAATATAGCAATGTTTAAATTAGTTCCAGTAGAGTATTTATTTACCTATTCAATTTTGCATTACTAAAATTTACTCTTTCATTTTATTACAATTATATTTTATTAAATATAAAATTAATTTTTTTTCGCAATGGTATCGAACAGCCATTCCTCAACTATGTCGTATCTTTAAACGAATTTTAAAGTCATATTTAGAGGTTAATGCTATTGTAAAATGAATTGCCACAACTAATTTAGAAACTTACAATCTTTACATGAAACTCGTTTAAAGTAAAATTATTCCATGATTAAAATTAGTATGCAGTTATTCTTTTATCCTTCTTTGATTTGCAATGTAAAACAAATGATAAATAATACATCAAATGACTTTATTGTGAGTATTCCCTTGAAACAAAAAAAATGCGTGGTGTGCAATAGTGACTAGTAACAGAAACAGGTGAGTGATAGTGATTTAACAGAATCGATTGGCATTTTTCGCACAATTATGTTAAGCTTTCTCAAAATATGTTGCTCCATTCATCTGCATGTGATTTTGATTGAATGTTGCATAGATATTAAACATACATACATCCATCAAATGAAAAACCAATTTCCAAATTCAGGGGTGCCCCAAAAGATATATAACTAACCATAGCCCAAAATAAAATTCTTTTACGAAAACGATATTTTCTCCATACACTATGCATAGGGGGGGATATTGTATATAAAGCCTCGTGTTTACAGAATACCGGTCGACCTCTGTGATTGCTATCAGCACCGGCAGCAACTTCCTGCAGTCTTCAGCATCGTATGGTCCCGAGTATCCTCCGCGGCCCCACAGTCCCTGCGGTAGAAGAACGTCCTCCCCCAACCCGCCTGCCAGGGAGTCTGAGGAGAGGCGACCCTCCATCCAGGTAATATTCTTTTAGACTAAAATACATGTCAGTATTAAAATACATGTCAGTATTAAAATACAATTAAAAGTGGTTGAATCCAGTCGCCGACATAGTGCGCTGATAGCAATTATAGATTTCTGCCAGGGAGTCTGAGGAGAGGCGACCCTCCATCCAGGTAGTGTTCTTTTAGGCTAAAATACATGTCAGTATTAAAATACATGTCAGTATTAAAATACAATTAAAAGTGGTTGAATCCAGTCGCCGACATAGTGCGCTGATAGCAATTATAGATTTCTGCAGAATATGACAATCTTTTAACCAAGCTTGAATGAAAGGACAACTTTATATAAATTATATTATACCAGTTTGTCACATCAACCAGAATCATAAAGAAAATTTGAGAGAAAGTAAAGTTTTTTTATATTAGGACACTTAGTGGGAGGCTCATTTAATTTATTAGACTTATACTTCTATGCCATCTTGGATGTGTTATACGATGACTGGTACGCCGTGGCTTGTGATGGCTACTATATTTTAGCTATACATTTTGGTGTCAACTATATTGTTCCTTACGATTTGAAGCATTTAACTGGAAACTTCACTGGAGACTGTTGCATGTGAAACATCATCTTGTCAATTTCTGGTTATCTTTCTTATACCTGCATCTTGTAAACTATTGGTAAAAAGATTATACTGTACGTATTTAAGTTTAAGTACCCTCGCCTAGTGACATGTAATTGGGTTAAAGTTGGGTTATGTGATACAGATCTGAGTAGCTAAGTAGATGTAGTGCTCGTATATTGAACATCAATTGTTCGCCTTGAGTAGAAAAGCTAGAAAGCAATTGATTGATTTTTAAATGCTCGTCCAGAAAAGTGTACACTATATCACTATTGTGAGGTGGCGCCCTTCTTGTTGATAGATCAACTGTTATCTTGTGTTAAGAGGAATGTTCTCTAAGGCCACAACAAGGACGTGTTCTAAGATTTCTCGATAACTGACGCCTGTTAGGGAACCCTCGTAAAAATGGACGGCTAATATCCTAATATCAAGTATCGCACTCCAGCAGTTAGGCCTAATAGACAACCGAACTTGATCACGGCCTTCTCTAACAATTAGAGGGTTTACGGTAGACCAGTAGTGGTTGTTTCGTCTGTTCACCATTCCTTTATTTGATAAATTAGTTCCATCCGTCAAAATAATTTTGGATTCAAGGCTTGGATCATCTAAAGCTTGGTCTAAGAACCAGTAACAAGACTGTAATCGTCTTCATCACCGGGTAGGTTAGCCTGGAAGACTGTAACCTTGTAGGGATGAAAGTTATGTTTCTTCAGAACACTATTAACATACAATTTTGATACTCTAAAAATCTCTGCTACTCCTCTTGTACTTGAGTTAGGATTTACTTAAAAACAAGCGACGATTTTAGTTTTCATTTCTTCCGTGAACGCAATCATAGGTCGCTGTTTCTTTTTCTTGAATGACCATAGTTCTTAAGATTGTCAACTATTTTCTTGGAGGATTTTCTATTAGGGTGTCGCCTGTCAGGGCACCGTACAATATAAGTAGATTCTGCTAGAGAACAGTTTTTTCTACACAAGAAATAAACTTCCTTTATTTCGTAGAAGACTATTATTTCTTGAATGTTTATGTATATTTACGTAAAATAACAAAATATAAAAGAGAGATACTAATGGAAAAACAGTTACGACTAATAATTATTGTAGGGTTACAATATTGTTCAGTCTTACAATATTCTTTAAATTCGGTCTTACAAAAGTCATTATTCAGGTTGTAATTTTTACTATTGTTATATTTTAGGCACCGTGTCTTTCATGCACAATGCTTCCGCATGTATACTTGGAAGTCTAGTAATAAATATTACATACTCTGTCTCAACTGAGCCATGTGCCTCCGATTCAGTACCCAATCATTAACAGTAGGAGCATTGTAACACCAGTGCGCAATCCACATATACCCCCCATTGCCCATTACGTCAACTCTGTAGAAGGCAATAAGATTTCTGAATAAATCCAACACACCCATAGACTGGTTTTATACCTGTACAATGGATGGACCTGGAACATCGATTTGTAGCCTGTTTTTGTCCCACCTCTCAAGTTCGTCAATGGCCGATAGCATGGTGATTTGTTTATTGTCATCCCATCTAACGGCCAATAAGCCATTTTTTTGTTGTTAAACGGCACTGTCGTGTACTTGGGTTTCTTTTCGCTGAGCATAGGACAATCATATTTCCTGACGGGGCGGATTATATCAGTGGCCAAATTGCCTTGATCTTTTAAATGTTTGAAAGGTTTTGCCGAAGTAAGCCAATTGTCAAAACAATCTACAGTTTTTGTTTGTATGTAAATTCTGGCATGTGTCTACAAAAATGTCACCTGAAAAACCTAGATTGTAATCAGCTCATGAATCTTTCCCCAAAATAAATGGTAAAGTCATCCATTAATCCTGTCGCACTGCATCTCATAAACACCTTATACCCCAACTTTTTTTTCACGTACTGCTTTAGGCTTTAGCTACCCTTATATATATCACATGTTCATCCACTAACTGGTTTTGTTCTGGTGGTATTTGTCTGCAAAATTCAACAATAGAATCAATCAAGAGACGAACCTTGTATAGTTTATCCCATGAAACTCGTGTTGTATTATCAACCAGGTAAAAATATTTTGAGATTAAACTTAATCTGCCTCTGCTCATTGTTTTTGTAACAGGTGGGAATCTGGTTTTCATTCCCCAAAACATACGATACTGGGGAAAATTGGCAATGCCAGTGTACAGCAGTATCCCAACAAACTTCTGCATCTCTAGACCAGTGGCATATAGGCTATATCCATTTTGTTGTGGGTATATGTTAGTATGTTCAACAAACATATCAAACAAATAATTTTCAATAAAAATATTAAAATTGTCTAGAGGTGTTTAATTTATGGTGTCTACTGGTGTACTTGATATCGTTCCCTAAAACTGAGAGTTAAGCAATATTATACTGACCTCTAAAAGTTGAAGAAATTCATCCACATCAGATCATGTGTATATCCAACTGTATTATAGTTTTTCTTATTTTTAATTCAGTGCTTAAAACGTTGAAAAATGTCATTTTCATAGAAGAATGTTTGCTTTGTACAGTGCATAGAAATAGAAATGTGTGGGTAAAACTGTCTTAACAGAGAAAAAAAATCAAGAATAACTGTATCCACGTGGATATTATAGGAAGGAAAGGGTTAAACACATAACACAGCTTTCTTGATTACAGACCTTATCCTAGCTAAAGCATTAACTGATCTTATGCAAGTAAGCTATTATCTCGTCCATTCAACACTTTTCAGTCACTCTTGTCTCAAAATTTATATCCTGGTGTGTCGGCGTTTTACAAATCGAACTTAATTTCTTCAGCATGATTAATGAAACCATGTGGTTTATACTCGTTGTAGGTGACAGTTCCGTCCCTTCCGTCTACCAGGGACGTCTCTGGACCTGGACCTCGCTGTCCCCAGGTAGCCACCTCGCGGTCCGATGGGTGTCTGTCACGGAGAGCGGAGGTCAACCGCAGCACCAACAGTCTGGTGAGTCAGCAACAGTGCTGCGCAGGCTTCCAGAGTCCCGGGGGAAAACACAGTCACTCCTGCGGGATAGTCTAGGACTTCCACCTCCAACAGAAACTGCTGTGATCCTTACTTGGTTGCTGTTTACAGGCTTCAACGTGTTGGAATGACTTTTGGTGAATCTTAGATAACGGTCAGAGGAAAGGTTTGAAATAGAACGAGGGAAGGTTTTAGTGAATGAGAATGTTTGTTGTTGACTATACAGGGCGTCTCGTAAGTAAACAGTTAAACTCCGGGAAATGGTTAAATGGGTTAAATTATAGAGCAAATCAAGAATGGAATTAAAAACCGTTGTTGAACATATATATGCGCACCTTAATCTTTTTCATCTTTAAAATTTCCTTAACGGTCTTTATGAAATTTGAATTTTTAGGTAGATAAGACTTATGCTTGTCCAAATTTTATTTTTTAAGATGGCGGCCGTTTTATTTTAAAACGGTATTTACAAAAAAGGCTGATTTTATAAAAAATGTCCAGAACACTTTTATTTAGAATTCAAAATTTCCTATCTAACGATATCAAGCCCAAAAAGATCGAATAAGAAATAATTTAAGTAAGCTAGTGACGATGCACCTCATTTACAACTACAACTATTGACATTTCAGCCGTTTTTCCAACCATACGATGTTTTTAAACCTGGGGTCGTTATACCTTAATATACATACCAAGGTTCATAATGATCGATTAGAAAAATACTCATGCTAAATAAAACGGCAGATAACGGGTTAACAAAGATATTTTATTCTTAGTTTCATTCTTGATTTTCAGTTTAATTTTACCCATAAAAACATTTCCCTAAGATTGGCTGTTTATTTACGTGACAACCTGAATATGGTAAAGCGCCGTTTGGTTTTTATTATTTACAGCAAGTTTAAATTATAATTTATGAGCCGTAACAAAAGAGTGTGCTGCTGTCTGCTGAATATTTTAATAAAATGCCAAGTGTTTATTTCCATCGTACTTACTGCTTAAAATTTAGTTTTTATTTCGATTTTATTCGCTGCAACATGAAATTGATCTGCTATCATTTATCTTTTAAATAGTTTCGTAGATGGATGATTGGTTAATCTTGCAAGTCTAGTGGTTAACGTATCTCGTAAAGACCCGTGAGGTGGTCTCGAGTTATGGAAAAGAGTCTGTTTTGACTCCCAGTTTATTTGCTTCACTTCGCACCTCTATTATTTAATTTTGTTTGTTTGTAGTGAGTCGGTGGCTCAGTTGATACCACGGCGGACTATATATCAAATGCGGCGATATTGTATGTTCGCATCCCGGCGAAGATACTTATAACCTTCAGTTAAGATAATACCTTTGCTGCAGGATAGGCTCATCATTTGACTTGCTTGATATGTTGTACAGACAGGCCAGATACATATTTGTGTTAAAAAAATCAAGGTTCAATAAACCCCTTAAACATTTTTTATAAAAATAGTAAATTAATATAGCCTTAAAAAGTATCTCGACCAGAGACCCATACAGATGAATACGTAGAGTGTTAATGAAAAACTACAATGTTTATACTTAATTTTACTAAGTAGTTTAATCAAAGCAGTTAGTTAATTAAAGTGGAATATTAAATGTTTGGAAACTTTTATTTTATTTTTCGTGCTAAATTTGGTTTACATTTGATTTGTATTTTCTTTTCGAAGCAAAAGTTCTGTTAACCAAAACTGTCGGTTGTCTATAAACTATGGTTTCATAGTGGTATGTTTATGTATGTAATTGTTTACCTTCTTGTTTCAATAAAACACTTTTTCGTTTCATTTTATCAAGCAGTTTAATTTATTAAATATATTAAATAGTTTGGCTTTATCAGCACACTCTGGCTCAACCAGTCTTACATGAGATATGTATATGGAACAGCCGACTCATTAGAACAAGGAATACACTATGAGTTAGGTTAATAGTTTGCCTAGTTTCACGATTTCGTGAATGTTTTCATGGCATGCATATATATAAAAGTATGTTTACTCTTTCCGAATCCTTAATCTTTGAAATGATTTTCGGCCTATTCATAATGCGAAATTATGTTATTAGATGACAACGTGCATTGGCACAGTTAAAAACTATAGTTGTAGCTTTATTTGTGCTTTGTAAAAAGAATCGAGTAAGCACCTACACATTTGAGTGATATTATAATTACATCAGGCCTAATAAATACCAGCATTATCTACTTAAAATGTTAAATGTATGGTTTCATTAATTCTAGTTAAAAGAACAACCAAACTAATAACTTACAATTCATTAATTATATTTTTACAAATGCTTCTTACTGTGACTTTTTAGTTAAAAATTAATTACTGCTCTTGTACTGTATTAAATGCTTTGAAGTTTCCGGATGAAAGAGCGTTGTTCGGTTGGATTACAACAATTCTTTCTTTTGAAGAATACATTTAGAATAACATTTTTCGACTAGTTAACAAATAAAATGTTTTAATTATTGATAGAGGTCAAATGTAAAAGACTGTAATGTCAATATTTGTAGTAACAATTCAATGGCAAATATTAACGAAACATTTTTTTTAAACAAACTTACGTGTTTCATCCGGATTTTTCTATTATAGTTTATCATTGCCGTTATAAGTCCAAGGAAACCGTAGATAATATTTTGGGAATTATAAATAAATTTACTTTCACTTATTATACTCACTTTTAGCTACAAGTTAAATATGAGTTTGCATTTTGAGTGTGAAGAGACTTTGAAGTGCTTACAAATAAAAAAACCGTGTTATTTTTATAGGTTAAAATTGTATATGTTAGAGTAATATTCTGGTTGATAGAATTTTCTTGATATTAAATCAAAATTGTATGTTTTTTAAGTGTTGCATTTAAGTTTACAAAAGTCTATTTTGATGTTATGGTTAAACTTTTAAATGTTTATTTTTTCGGCGATATGAATAGAAATTAGAACAATCTCAATGTTTGAAGACAATATTAACTTTCCTTAGAAATAGTTCTTAAATTTACCAGACAATTTAAATTGTAGTTTGTTTAAAATTGAATTGTATCTTCCTAGATCTCCCTCTCTCTACGTTTGTGATATGTAACGAGTTTAGTTTTAAGTGGTTATATTTTAGTGTTACCATAACAATAAATTTATTTTTAATTAATAAATTGTTTTTTTTCCTAACCGTAGAGTTTTTATGTGCAATAAATCAAGATTAAGAGAGAAAAATGAATCAGCCATTGTAAAACGAAGGACCAGGAAAGGGTTCAGTTTCACAATATTATTTATTGTTTTACAATGATCAGCTTTTGAGTATGTTCAGTTCTTTTAGTTAATAATTTCTATTAATAATATTGTAAAAATAAACATTCCTTTCTGGTTCTTTCTGTTAGAATGACTCCAATAATTATCTCTTTTAATTTTTCATGTTTTATACATAAACACTCTACACTGAATATGTTAATATCAAAAAGTCTGGAAAATAAATAACTCCATAATTTACAAATTTAGTTCAGAACATATTTATTTAAAATTTGATCACTCATAAAGGCTTGAAACATCATGATTATTTTCTTAAGGATGGGATTTTATATTCAAACAATTGTTCTTTAATGTTGTTCCCTCCGTTTTCCTTAAACATAGGACCAGGCTTACAAGTGACCATGGGATTGCATCGCAGCTGGAACAGCTTATTGTGCAAATGTATTACCCAAGGTAAATTGTGCCTTTTTGCAGTTACTTTCTTGGCACTACCCAGCCCTTGTCTAGAGTCAATCAAGCAAATGACAACCCCAGAGTTAAGTAATTTGCTTCAGTGATTTGACCTTCTGAAAACCAACACTGCAAATGCACAGCTAATCACCTTTCGAGTCTACCTGTATTCATCCTGTACAGTCAGTTAATCTTTAGGCATTCATTTCTAAAAAAAGTCGTATGTTAATGAGATGCCCTAGTAATTGAAAACAAAAAGTCCTATGTCTTTGTAAAATGTCGTATGTAAAGAAAAGTTTGTAATTTAAAAACCAAAAAGTCGTATGTGCGTATGAAATACAAACGTGTCAAGGGGAGATGTACGTACTACGCCGCCTATACCCGCAATGTTAAACGTATACATGTAAGTGACCCATTATCTCAAAAAGTATAAGACATATGCAACTGAAATTTTTTTCCTAGTATATATATATATATATATATTATACTAAAGACACCCTAGTATTTATATTCGATTTCTTATATCCGTTGGTACTTTTTGAATTTTTGATAATTAAAAAAAAGTTGACTTTTAATTTTATTAAAATATTTTTTATATTTTTTTTTGTTTTTGAGCTAGAAGCCTAAAACAGGTAGGGAGTGTGCATTTAGACCTGCTAAGTATATGGTAAAATTTTGAAATAATTTGACTCACTACTTCCTGAGATAATGGGACTTTGATGCTAAAAAAGTGAATTTTTGAGAAATCGCAAAAAACGCAGAAAATAATAATTAACTTACATTTTAAATCATTCCAGCTGCATAAAGCCCCCCATACACGGGCGAGCATGTTCGCGAGCATGTTGGCGAACATGCTCGCGAACATGCTCGGCGTTGCCAACAGACGGACGAGCATGCTCACGAACATGCTCGCGAACATGCTCGTCGCTCGGTATCGGTTCCTAGGCCTATTCTTGCTTCTCTTGTGCGCTGTGACAGTAAAGTTGTTTGTATTTATTTATTTAATACTAGCTGTTGTACCCGTGCATTGCAACGGGAAGAGGACACAGAATAGAAACATTTTAATCTTTAAATCTGTTACGTATAATAGTTAAACACATCCTCCAACGCTTTAAAAAACAAAAAATTCAACTTTTATGGCCTTAATAGAAACATTTAAGTTATGACTTTTAAATCTGGTAAGTAGTGGATACCACCATTTTGCTTTTGATTAATTTTAAACCTTGTGTAGGCTGATTTGAGAAAAACTGACCAAATCTTCAATAAAACTTTGATATACATGATTTACCTTCATCTCCCTTAATTACATATTTTTTAAATTATTATTGATATTTTCAATTTCAAATCTCTGATTCTACTATACAAAAATATCCACAAATAACTTAATATACAAACCAGTTCTTTTAATCAGTTCCATCGTCCATTGCCTCTACATTTTCACACTTACCATTAAGAAAACATAGTAACAGATATTTCATTGATTGTAGAAACAAAAGAACACTGTGTACTGCTTAGTTTTATGATATTTTCCTTGGTTTAATTTGATCAGTGTTGTGGCAAAACACTAATAATAAATGTATCAAATAAAGTAAGTGAACTGAAAACTATGCTAAGATAAAATAAGAGTATGTTGTACTTTTTTTAATCTATTCTATACTAGAATAATAAGTAAATTTAATAACCATTTTAACATGGGTTAGTTACACTCCATCAAGTGCACTAACATACAAAAACTTTTAAAAAGTTTAACTAAAAACGATTTGGAAGGTCTATTGGATTAACTCTTTTGAGCCTATATGTAGCTTCACTATTGTCGAGGAGGTTAACAGCCAGGAAATTTGGATGGGTTTCTAATTTTCTTTGGTATTTTTCACTTCGTTTCTTTATTTCTTCTTTAACATAGGGTAATTTTGAATCTTGATGAATTACTTTATTTGTGACAAACCATGGTGCTTGTAAAATTATTCTCAGTGTTTTCGATTGAAACCTTTGAACTATTTCTATGTTTGAGTTGGAAGTGGTTCCCCAGAGTTGGATACCGTAGGTCCAAATAGGGTTCAATATAATTTTGTATAAAAGTTTTTTATTTTAAAAAGATAATTTTGAATTTAGACCAATGAGCCAATTTAGTTTGTTTGTTTTTAAATTTAAATGAAGTCGTTTGTTCCAAATGTGTGAATGCCATGTAAGCCGTCTGTCGAGATGCATAAAAAGGTACTTAACTTCGTTGGATTGTGGAAGCATGACATTATTCAATGTTACTGGGGGACAAGTTCTTGTAGACATAGTAAATGTAACTTGAACGGATTTTGTTTCATTTACTTTAATTTTCCAATTCTGTAGCCCCTGAAACAAATCGTCTAATGCAGCCTGAAGGTTTGATGATGCCAGAATAGGATCCTGATTTGATGATAAAAAAGCAGTGTCGTCTGCAAATGTTGCAACCGTAATACCCTGAGTACTTGGAAGGTCATAAGTGAACAAAATATACAAAATAGGTCCAAGAACACTGCCTTGTGGTACACCTGACTCAATTTCATGCACATCTGTAACTATATCTTGATATTTAATTTGAAAAAAGCGTTTGGACAAATACGATTTCAACACTCCATAGTATGTATGGGGCAGCAAAGTTTTAATTTTGATCAATAATCCTGTGTGCCAGACTTTATCAAACGCCTTGAACAAAAACGTTTATTTTCAAGATCTTCCTTGATTACATTCACTATTCTATGCACTTGCTCAATGCCTTCGGCGGAATCCAAACTGATGGGAAGGCAACAATTCTTTTTCATCAATTATAATTTGGAGTCTTTTTAAGAAAAGTTTTTCAAAAACTTTAGAAACCACAGGAAGAAGAGATATAGGCCGATACGAGGATGCTTGATTTAAAGGTTGACCAGGTTTCGGAATAACAACAATTTGTGAAACCTTCCACTGTATTGGGAAGTATTCAAGGCGTAAAACTGCATTGAAAAGTACTGTAAGGAAAACTATTCCTTTTCTAGGAAGCTCTTTCAACACTTTACCTGTTATCAGATCATAACCGGGGGCTTTTTTGCCGTTTAAATCGTCTTTTATTACTTTAGCTACTTCAGATGGTGTGAACAATTTTATTGGTAAATCAAGTTGATTTGGAGAATCGAGGAATTCCAAAATTTCTTGCTCAACATTTGAATTAATATTATATGACTTGAACACTTCCTTGAAGTATGAAGCAAATACATCTGCTTTCTCGATGTTGTTTTTGGCCCAAGAACCGTCTTCTTTTGGAATAGGTGGAATGAAAATTTGTGGACGTTTTAAGTTTTTTGTTATGATCTGATAACAGGTAAAGTGTTGAAAGAGCTTCCTAGAAAAGGAATAGTTTTCCTTACAGTACTTTTCAATGCAGTTTTACGCCTTGAATACTTCCCAATACAGTGGAAGGTTTCACAAATTGTTGTTATTCCGAAACCTGGTCAACCTTTAAATCAAGCATCCTCGTATCGGCCTATATCTCTTCTTCCTGTGGTTTCTAAAGTTTTTGAAAAACTTTTCTTAAAAAGACTCCAAATTATAATTGATGAAAAAGAATTGTTGCCTTCCCATCAGTTTGGATTCCGCCGAAGGCATTGAGCAAGTGCATAGAATAGTGAGTGTAATCAAGGAAGATCTTGAAAATAAACGTTTTTGTTCATCTGCTTTTTTGGACGTAGCCAGGCGTTTGATAAAGTCTGGCACACAGGATTATTGTTCAAAATTAAAACTTTGCTGCCCCATACATACTATGGAGTGTTGAAATCGTATTTGTCCAAACGCTTTTTTCAAATTAAAATTAAAGGTTTGATGTGAAATCTTGAAATCTGTCATTGTTTAATTTAAACAGTAACCTTTTTAGTTGTTGAGTGGCCCTGTTTGGATTTCTTTTATCCGTCTGGTCTCTAGAGTGTTGCCATATTCTACGGAGTCGGCGTTTTCGGCAATTTTCCTATTAATTTCAATTGGATAGTGTATTCCTGATTTTAAATTATGTTTATTCTGGTCTGGAGTTGCTCTCCAAGCGGAGTCTTGAACTGTTTTGTTGAAATGTTCAACAGCAAGATTCAAATCTTCTTCGCTCTTCAAGCACACAGAAATCTTTAAATTTTGATCCATTAATTCAAGAAAATAATTCCAATCTGTATTTTTGTTCTATAAATGTGGTGGAATAGGTTTGAATATAACATTTGAAGCGATCGTTAAAATTACAGGTAAGTGGTCTGAGGAAAGGCCCAGAGATTGCTTGATTGTCACAAAATCTCGGGATACACCTTTTGTAACAAAAAAATCAAGAAGGTCTGGTATTTTTTGACGATCAGAGGGCCAATATGTCGGTTCACCTGTCGATAGAGTATCAAGGTTCCGTTCTTGGATTGACTGCAATAGTTGTC